TGATGAGAAGAATAAGAAACAAAATTAAACCAGAAATCAGCGATGAACAATGTGGATTTGTAGAAGGAAAAGGTACAGACAAAGCCATGTACATCCTAAGGACATTGTCTGAAAGAGCTATAGAAGTAAAGGCTGATTTGTACATATGCTTCATAGACTATACAAAAGCATTTGACTGTGAAGCATGAAGAAGTAATTAAACTGTTAGAAGAATTAAACATTGATGGAAAAGTTCTACGAATAATAAAGAATATGTATTGGCAGCAAACAGCAACTATGATAATTAACAACTGATTAGGTACATTTCAAAGCATAAAGAGGGGCGTACGACAAGGATGTGTACTTTCACCTGATTTGTTTTCAATATACAGTGAATATATAATGAGATCTTTGATTGGTATGATCGGAATTGTGGTTGGTGGGCACAATATAAACATAGTCTTGATAGCAACAAGTCAGAAAGAACTACAGGAAATGATAGACATTGTGGTGTTTGAAAGTGGAAGAATGGGTCTCAGTTTGAATAATGGGAAGACAGAAGTAATGGTGGTTGGTATAAAAGAAACGAATTATTCCTAAGTGTGTAATAAAAGTTGATGGTGTTATTTTAGGACAAGTACAGAAATTTAAGTATCTGGGCACATGGATAACATCAGCTGCAAGATGCATAACTGAGATAAGAAACAGAATAGGACAGGCAAAAACTACATTTTTTTAAATGAAAAAATCTTGTGCGATATATCCTTGTCATTGAGAGTTAGAAAAGGAATTCTTGCTTGCTACATATATCCAGTTTTAACATATGGCTGTTAATCTCGGACAATAGGTAGGCAGGCCAAACAATTTCTTGAGGCCTCAGAGATGTGGTTTTACAAAAGAATGCTTAGAATACCTTGGACAGCCAAAAAGAGCAACCAAGAGGTTTTGAAAGAGGCGGGAGCCCGAAGACAACTTATCACAGACATAAGAAGGAGACAGTCATCATATTTCGGCTATGTTATGAGAAGAGGGAAAATAGAACATGTTGACACCACTGGAAAGATCTGTGGAAGGAGAGATAGAGGAAGACAACGAGAGAAGATGCTTGAAAGTCTTGTTTGCATGGCATGGAACACGAACTGATACATGCTGCAGGAGATCGCAGATTATGGAGAGGCATGATCGCCTACGCCAGTCGGCAAGGCTCCTGATGATGATGATAGGTGGAGCTTTAGACGGACAGTCGTCCTGTATCGTCAGTTCATGCTCATCATTATGTCGTGTTGCGTCCAGATAAGGAGGCTGAAGCACGATGACTCTACACGTTTTGTTGGTTTCGTTGGTTCGCAGTGTTAGGAGCGTGTTATGACTCTGAAAACCTTGTTAACTTAGTACTTCTACCACACTTCCCCACAAACACTTCCCTACAATTTGGAGGCATAATCAGTCATCTCTGGACACTTGGTTTGCGTGCATGCCTCTGAACGATGGTACAAGTGTCTGATTGTAATTATGTGAATTCCCAGGGAAATTCCAGAGAGTTCCTGATTGGGGCAAAAGGTCAGAGGACCAGTGAAACAAGACGAAAGGGTGGAAAGCATGTCTCGAGTATCCCGTGGTGAGTAAATAGGGATACGGGGAAAGCGTAAGACTTGAACGGAAGGTGTGAACCCACAGAGGATAGGAAGTCAGTTGAAGTTTGGACCTGAATGTGTTGCGGTCGAATGCAAGAGAACAGCTGAGAAGAATGCAGACCGTCTGACCAGGTGTAATCGTTCGAGAGCAGAAATAAATGTCTACTGACTGCAAGTCTTGACTGTGTACAGGTACAATGAACAACATGTTAGCCTGGTCCAGATGTAGGAATTGAAAGGTAATGCCAGAGAGAATCACAGTGTGAGATAGTTAGAAATAAATCAGCCATGGGTCACACCCACCAGGACAAAAATGAGCGACTGGACAGTGCATCTGTTGGAACAGCGAATAAAGGTCACTAACTGAGTGTTTGTTGTCTGGTGTGTTTCTAGTAACTTTGTGTAGCTAAGAACGTCAGTATAGCAATGTGACTAGTTCAATCAAACCCTAGACAGGGGCACATTGCAATGATAGATTGGCATACATATCACTATACAACAATGGACGCCAAGCCGCTTAGTGAGAACCTTGCACTATAAGATGAAGACAGGCTATGGACATGACTACCTACACCACACGGCTGGCACTATTTGAGGAAGAAGGAGACAGAAGGATGTGGACAGATATGACTACCTACACCCCACGGCTGGCACTATTAGATGAAGACAGGAGACAGAAGGCTGTGGACATGACTACCTACACCACACGGCTGGCACTATTAGATGAAGACATGAGAGAGAAAGCTGTGGACATGACTATCTACACCACACGGCTGGCACTATTTGTGGAAGACATGAGAGAGAAAGCTGTGGACCTGACTGCCTACACCACACGGCTGGCACTATTAGATGAAGACAGGAGACAGAAGGCTGTGGACATGACTACCTACATCCCACGGCTGGCACTATTAGAGGAAGACAGGAGACAGAAGGATGTTTACATGACTACCTACACCCACGGCTGGCACTATTAGATGAAGACAGGAGACAGAAGGCTGTGGACATAACTACCAACACCCCACGGCTGGCACTATTAGAGGAAGACAGGAGACAGAAGGCTGTGGACATGACTACCTACACCACACGGCTGGCACTATTAGAGGAAGACAGGAGACAGAAGGCTGTGGACATAACTACCAACACCCCACGGCTGGCACTATTAGAGGAAGACAGGAGACAGAAGGCTGTGGACATGACTACCTACACCACACGGCTGGCACTATAAGATGAAGACATGAGAGAGAAAGCTGTGGACCTGACTGCCTACACCACACGGCTGGCACTATTAGATGAAGACAGGAGACAGAAGGCTGTGGACATGACTACCTACATCCCACGGCTGGCACTATTAGAGGAAGACAGGAGACAGAAGGCTGTGGACATGACTACCTACATCCCACAGCTGGCACTATTAGAGGAAGACAGGAGACAGAAGGATGTTTACATGACTACCTACACCCACGGCTGGCACTATTAGATGAAGACAGGAGACAGAAGGCTGTGGACATAACTACCAACACCCCACGGCTGGCACTATTAGAGGAAGACAGGAGACAGAAGGCTGTGGACATGACTACCTACACCACACGGCTGGCACTATTAGAGGAAGACAGGAGACAGAAGGCTGTGGACATGACTGCCTACACCACACGGCTGGCACTATTAGAGGAAGACAGGAGACAGAAGGCTGTGGACAGACATGACTACCTACACCACACGGATGGCACTATTAGAGGAAGACAGGAGACAGAAGTATGTGGACATGACTACCTACACCACACGGCTGGCACTATTAGAGGAAGACAGGAGACAGAAGTATGTGGACATGACTACCTACACCACACGGCTGGCACTATAAGATGAAGACAGGAGACAGAAGGCTGTGGACATGACTACCTACACCACACGGCTGGCACTATTAGAGGAAGACAGGAGACAGAAGTATGTGGACATGACTACCTACACCACACGGCTGGCACTATTAGAGGAAGACAGGAGACAGAAGGCTGTGGACATAACTACCAACACCCCACGGCTGGCACTATAAGATGAAGACAGGAGACAGAAGGCTGTGGACATGACTACCAACACCCCACGGCTGGCACTATAAGATGAAGACAGGAGACAGAAGGCTGTGGACAGACATAACTACCTACACCCCACGGCTGGCACTATAAGATGAAGACAGGAGACAGAAGGCTGTGGACATGACTGCCTACACCACACAGCTGGCACTATTAGATGAAGACAGGAGACAGAAGGCTGTGGACATGACTGCCTACACCACACAGCTGGCACTATTAGAGGAAGACAGGAGACAGAAGGCTGTGGACATGACTACCTACACCACACGGCTGGCACTATTAGATGAAGACAGGAGACAGAAGGCTGTGGACATGACTGCCTACACCACACAGCTGGCACTATTAGAGGAAGACAGGAGACAGAACTATGTGGACATGACTACCTACATCACACGGCTGGCACTATTAGATGAAGACAGGAGACAGAAGGCTGTGGACATGACTACCTACATCCCACGGCTGGCACTATTAGATGAAGACAGGAGACAGAAGGCTGTGGACATAACTACCTACACCCCACGGCTGGCACTATTAGATGAAGACAGGAGACAGAAGTATGTGGACATGACTACCTACACCACACGGCTGGCACTATTAGAGGAAGACAGGAGACAGAAGGCTGTAGACATGACTACCTACACCCCACGGCTGGAACTATAAGATGAAGACAGGAGACAGAAGGCTGTGGACATGACTACCTACACCACACGGCTGGCACTATTAGAGGAAGACAGGAGACAGAAGGCTGTGGACATGACTACCTACGCCACACGGCTGGCACTATTAGAGGAAGACAGGAGACAGAAGGCTGTGGACATGACTGCCTACACCACACAGCATTCACTGTTAGAAAATCTATAATTACAGCTACTCGTTTTTTCCCCCCACTTCCAACTCTTTATTCTATGTGTGCACATATGGCATATGTTGTTAATCACCACATACAATCATTACACTTTAAGCCACACATAATAAATATACACCTAGAGCCCTCGAATAAAATATAAATGTGAATGTAATACAAAGCTGATGAAAACGTTAAGATCACCTAGTAATGAAGTGACTTCTTTACACCGTTGCCAAGTTAAAGGGCCTACTACACACAACCGTTAAAGTCATCGGTTGTTCTCCTGAAAAAAAAAAAAAAACTGTTCATGCAATACCCGATCGAGTGTGAAAATATCGTTTATTGACTAGCGGTGATGAAATTTCAGTCACCAATGTACAAGAGCAAAGAAACACAATGACTTTAGCAAACCCATTAAACGATAAATAATACCAATCATTAATCAATCTTCCTTAATCAATCAATCATGATTTTGTCTGATTCCTGGTTTGCAGTTTGGTGATTCCTTGTTTTTGAATCTTCCAGACCGACATATTTTTCCACTTCTTTCATGGTGTCCTTGACCTTCTCTTTGGCGCGGTCGTTGTTGTTATTGTTGTTGTTATTGTTGTAATGTGGGTTGTTCTTGGAGACATTCCCATCGAGGTCGGGGTTCCTCAGCTCCCATACGTTGAGGGTCCCGTCGTAAGATGAAGTGAACAGTTTGCCTTCGACCATCTGGGAGAAAGATCACATTGAGTATGTTTCAGTCAAGGTAACAAAGTTAGATTTTAATCAATGTAATATATGTAACATATACAGTGTAAATGTAATATATAGGTCGGCTTTGTGGCTAAGTCGATGCGAACGCTTCGTAATGCCGGGATACCGGGTTCGATCCCAGCTGCGCACCATGCGCCTTGCGTTGGTTTCGACAGTGGTATTAAGAAAGCCGACCGTCCAGAAGCACTGGCAAACTACTGGACGTAAATTTGCCTAGAAAAGCCAGGGGCTGTTGAGGTTGGTTCTGCAACGTCCTGTAAAGGACATGCAACTAACCTTAATATATGTAGGTTCTGGTCAGTGTATCGGTTTTAATCAATGTAACATTGGTAGGTTTTAATCAATGTAACATGGGTAGGTTTTAGTTAATGTAACATGGATAGGTTTTAATAAATTTAACATGGTTAGGTTTTAATTAATGTAACATGGGTAGGTTTTAATCAATGTAACATGGGTAGGTTTTAATCAATGTAACATGGGTAGGTTTTAATTAATGTAACATGGGTAGGTTTTAATCAATGTAACATGGGTAGTTTTTAGTTAATGTAACATGGGTAGGTTTTAATCAATGTAACATGGGTAGGTTTTAATTAATGTAACATGGGTAGGTTTTAATCAATGTAACATGGGTAGTTTTTAGTTAATGTAACATAGGTAGGTTTTAGTTAATGTAACATAGGTGGGTTTTAATTAATGTAACATTTGTAGGTTTTAATTAATGTAACATGGTTAGGTTTTAGTTAATGTAACATAGGTAGGTTTTAGTTAATGTAACATAGGTAGGTTTTAATTAATGTAACATGGGTAGGTTTTAGTTAATGTAACATAGGTAGGTTTTAGTTAATGTAACATAGGTAGGTTTTAATTAATGTAACATGGGTAGGTTTTAGTTAATGTAACATAGGTAGGTTTTAGTTAATGTAACACAGGTAGGTTTTAGTTAATGTAATATAGGTAGGTTTTAATTAATGTAACATGGTTAGGTTTTAGTTAATGTAACATAGTTAGGTTTTAATTAATGTAACATGGTTAGGTTTTAGTTAATGTAACATAGGTAGGTTTTAATTAATGTAACATGGTTAGGTTTTAGTTAATGTAGCATAGGTAGGTTTTAATTAATGCAACATGGTTAGGTTTTAGTTAATGTAACATAGGTAGGTTTTAATTAATGTAACATGGTTAGGTTTTAGTTAATGTAACATAGGTAGGTTTTAGTTAATGTAACATAGGTAGGTTTTAGTTAATGTAACATAGGTAGGTTTTAATTAATGTAACATGGGTAGGTTTTAGTTAATGTAAAATAGGTAGGTTTTAATCAATGTAACATGGGTAGGTTTTAATCAGTGTAACATGGGTGGTTTTAATCAATGTAACATGGGTAGGTTTTAGTTAATGTAACATAGGTAGGTTTTAGTTAATGTAACATAGGTAGGTTTTAATTATTGTAACATGGGTAGGTTTTAATTAATGTAACATGGGTAGGTTTTAATTAATGTAACATGGGTAGGTTTTAGTTAATGTAACATAGGTAGATTTTAGTTAATGTAACATAGGTAGGTTTTAATTAATGTAACATAGGTAGGTTTTAGTTAATGTAACATAGGTAGGTTTTGGTTAATGTAAAATTGGTAGGTTTTAATCAATGTAACTTGGGAGCTTTTAATCAATGTAACATGGGTAGGCTTTAATCAGTGTAACATGGGTAGTTTTAATCAATGTAACATGGTTTGGTTTCAGTCAATGTAACATAGGTAAATGTTACTCAATGTAACATGGGTAAAATTTTAGTCCATCGTAGCGAGGATATTGTAGCATAGGTATTTAAACAGAGACATAAAAATGTTGGGATAAGGAAACAAAAAGGCATTTATATAAGTTGTCAGCGAGACAAAAACAAATTTAAAAAAAACAATCAGTAAGACGTACAGAGATATAAAGGCTATAGTTAGTTAGTTAGTTAGTCAGTCAGTCAGTCAGTCAGTCAGTCAGTCAGTCAGTCAGTCAGTCAGTCAGTCAGTTAGTTAGTTAATTAGTTATTTTATTGGTTAGTTAGTTAGTTAGTTAGTTAGTTAGTTAGTTAGTTAGTTAGTAGTCAGTCAGTCAGTCAGTCAGTCAGTCAGTCAGTCAGTCAGTCAGTCAGTTAGTTAGTTAGTTAGTTAGTTTATTGGTTAGTTAGTTAGTTGGTTAGTTAGTCAGTCAGTCAGTCAGTTAGTTAGTTAGTTAGTTAGTTAGTTAGTTAGTTTATTGGTTAGTTAGTTAGTTAGTTAGTTAGTTAGTTAGTCAGTCAGTCAGTCAGTCAGTCAGTCAGTCAGTCAGTTAGTTAGTTAGTTAGTTAGTTTATTGGTTAGTTAGTTAGTTAGTTAGTTAGTTGGTTAGTTAGTCAGTCAGTCAGTTAGTTAGTCAGTTAGTTTATTGGTTAGTTAGTTAGTTAGTTAGTTAGTTAGTTAGTTAGTTAGTTAGTTAGTTAGTTAGTTAGTTAGACAGTCAGTCAGTTAGTTAGTTAGTTAGTTAGTTAGTTAGTTAGTTAGTTAGTTAGTTAGTTAGTTAGTTAGTTAGTTAGTTAGTTAGTTAGTTAGTTAGTTAGTTAGTTAGTTAGTTAGTTAGTTAGTTAGTTAGTTAGTTAGTTAGTTAGTTAGTTAGTTAGTTAGTTAGTTAGTTAGTTAGTTAGTTAGTTAGTTAGTTAGACAGTCAGTCAGTTAGCTAGTTAGACAGTCAGTCAATTAGTTAGTTAGTTAGTTAGTTAGTTAGTTAGTTAGTTAGTTAGTTAGTCAGTCAGTCAGTCAGTCAGTTAGTTAGTTAGTTAGTTAGTTAGTTAGTTAGTTAGTTAGTTAGTTAGTTAGTTAGTTAGTTTAGTTAGTTAGCTAGTTAGACAGTTAGTTAGTTTAGTTAGTTAGTTAGTTAGTTAGTTAGTTAGTTAGTTAGTTAGTTAGTTAGTTAGTTAGTTAGTTAGTTAGTTAGTTAGTTAGTTAGTTAGTTAGTTAGTTAGTTTAGTTAGTTAGTTAGTTAGTTAGTTAGTCAGTCAGTCAGTTAGTTAGTTAGTTAGTTAGTTTATTGGTTAGTTAGTTAGTTAGTTAGTTAGTCAGTCAGTCAGTCAGTCAGTCAGTCAGTCAGTCAGTTAGTTTATTGGTTAGTTAGTTAGTTAGTTAGTTAGTTAGTTAGTTAGTTAGTTAGTTAGTTAGTTAGTTAGTTAGTTAGTTAGTTTGTTAGTTAGTTAGTTAGTTAGTTAGTTATTTAGACAGTTAGTTAGTTAGTTAGTTAGTTAGTTAGTTAGTTAGTTAGTTAGTTAGTTAGTTAGTTAGTTAGTTAGTTAGTTAGTTAGTTAGTTAGTTAGTTAGTTAGTTAGTTAGTTAGTTAGTTAGTTAGTTAGTTGGTTAGTTAGTTAGTTAGTTAGTTAGTTGGTTAGTTAGTTAGTTAGTTAGTTAGTTAGTTAGTTAGTTAGTTAGACAGTCAGTCAGTCAGTTAGTTAGTTAGTCAGTCAGTTAGTTAGTTAGTTAGTTAGCTAGTTAGTTAGTTAGTTAGTTAGTTAGTTAGTTAGTTAGTTAGTTAGTTAGTTAGTTAGTTAGTTAGTTAGTTAGTTAGTTAGTTAGTTAGTTAGTCAGTTTTTTAGTTAGTTAGTCAGTCAGTCAGTCAGTAAGTTAGTTAGTTAGTCAGTCAGTCAGTCAGTCAGTCAGTCAGTCAGTCAGTCAGTCAGTCAGTCAGTCAGTCAGTTAGTTAGTTAGTTAGTTATTTAGTTAGTTAGTTAGTCAGTCAGTCAGTCAGTTAGTTAGTTAGTCAGTCAGTCAGTCAGTCAGTCAGTCAGTCAGTCAGTCAGTCAGTCAGTCAGTCAGTCAGTCAGTCAGTCAGTCAGTCAGTCAGTCAGTCAGTCAGTCAGTCAGTCAGTCAGTCAGTCAGTCAGTCAGTCAGTCAGTCAGTTAGTTAGTTAGTAGTTAGTTAGTTAGTTAGTTAGTTAGTTAGTTAGTTAGTTAGTTAGTTAGTTAGTTAGTTAGTTAGTTAGTTAGTTAGTTAGTTAGTTAGTTAGTTAGTTAGTTAGTTAGTCGACAGATTATCCTTATTGCATGTTGAACCACTCAGTCCATAAGTGTTCGGATCCCCTCAGTAAATCTCGCAGCGTATAGCGGCTAATGACGTTAGTTCTGTGTTCTTTTATTATTCTTCTTTGGCTAGCCGCTTAGTTTTCTTGTTGTCTTCTTTGGCGACGCCCCGTTTAACATGTTTTTCTTGCAGTCTGACCATGGTTGCAGATTCACAGTTCTCAGTTGCTTCAGATAAAAGTCTTAACTCTCTTAAAGCATTCAGTATACCAGCCTGGTCCTTGGCTTGTCCGGCTTTCACAGTAGCCTTGCCTGCAAGTCTATCAGATTGCTCATTTTCTTGTACTCCCACATCTCCTGGCTCTAAAATGAAACTAATCCTTCTCAGCCGTGAATGCTGTAGAGCCATCAACCACTGGCTTTGGACTCAGTCCTTCTCTTTCTTCCTGTGCATACTCATCGAGTCACTGAGAAAGCATGCCCCAGTAAAAGTCTGTGTCTCTAGCCATGTTACTGCTTTAGTCACAGCCATGACCTTCATAGTCAGACTACTTGTAGTTACGGCAAAAGCTTCAGAATCTTCCTCCACAACTTTCCCTCCAACCTGAGCAGTGAAAGCCCAGGAGCTTCTAACATGGCGGATGACAGACCCATCTGTGTAAATTACAGCATCACCCTCTTGAGAAGTGATTCCCAAACTGTACGCCTCGGCGCCTCTGGTAGCCGCGACCTTTTCACAGGGGCACCTTGAAAAATTCAAAGATACACGAGTTTTTCTTTTTTTTCATTTACAACTCTCACATACGAACAGTCCTACTTTTACTTAGGTTAGGGCGCCGTGGCTATTGTTACGGCTGTTGGTAGCATTCCATTCTGTTCTCGTGATGTCCGCACTCAATCAAACTTCAGAAGTAAGTCGTGAGC